ATAAAGACAAGCAATTGAGGCGTAGCAGGATCCCAATTGTAAAAGTTCATTGGACTTCGAGGCATGGGCCAGAGTTCACGTGGGAAAGAGAATATTTCATGAAAAACAAATATCCCCATTTGTTCGCAAGCAAGTCATGATCTGAGGTTGACAAATAAATTTCGGGACAAAATTTTTCTGACATGGGGAGACTGTGACATTCTGTCATTTCGGAGTTTCAGGTTAGCATTTTATTATAGATCCTATATTTAGAAATTATATTTCTCTAGGATTTGGTCTCAGCGATTTGAATTCTTCTGGCTTAGCTCCCAAGTTTTATTCGATAGATCACTCCCACTCGGTGAGCGTGCAATCTGTTTTGGGGGCTGTGTAACTCAAGGTTGTAGGGTAATGATGAGGAATTTAAACCCACTCAAACATCTTGGTGTTTGAAAATAGTCGGCTGAGCTCATTATTTTTAAAAGTACGTGACAAGTTGGGCATAAAATGACTTTTGGAAGGTTCCTATTTTTAGAGTTTTGTGAAACCCAAAAACACTTGGAACATAATTTATAATCTGTCCAAAAATCAGCTTTTGGTTTCTTTTATTTAGATAAATTTTGGGCTGTTTTTAGATTAAATAATAAAATATCAATCGTGTTTCATAAAAATCCGATGGCAATACATGGGATACAACTTGACTCTATCTTCGTCAAGAACCCATAGGTGATCTGAATGTTGGATGTTGGTCTATTTAGGAAGGCAAGACAGGCATTGAGAGCTTCAGACTCTGTTCTCTTGGATATTCATTATCAAACCAGTGAGTTCTCACGGCCCCACTTTTAATGCTTTGTTTATTGTTTTGGAGGAAAAGTATGAGATTAAGCAAACTAAGCATGTTATTCGTTTGAAACCATTGGACTAAAGAACTGTTTAATCAAGCTTTGTTTGAAACCATTCGAATAAAGAACTGTTTAGTCAAACTTTGTTTGAAACCATTGGACTAAAGAACTGTTTAGTCACGCTTTATTTGACACCTTTGGACTAAAGAACTGTTTTGTCAAATTTATTGTTTCATGAAATATTGACTGTTATTGCACTTTGAAATAAATGCTAAATTGATGTTCGTGGGAGTATATTTTCCAAATAATGTCCCCGTCCGTAAACGCTACTTGTTAACTCGGGTACATCCCCGAGCCGTGGTATTGTGGATAGCCGCTATTGTGTTGACAGTCCCACCCAGAAAGGGGTGCAGATTACCTATGTTTTCTTGTCTAATCATGTGGAATTTGGACCACCGCTGAATTAGTACATCTTCGAACTGTGAGACCAAAGTGAGTGTACGGTCTACTTATGGTCGTTCGTAAATTAATGGGGCAAGTTGGTCAGGTAACGCTCAGTAGCGTCTCAAGTTTTTACATCGTGGAAGATTTACTTTTATTAAGTGCAAAAGATTCGCATAAGTTTGCAAATATTTGGTTTATGCATTAAAGTGTTTTATGCATATGAAAACCCGTGATCTCACCAACTCTTGTAGCTGACTCGTTTTATGTTCCATGCTTTTCAGGTAACAAGTAAGAAATGAAGTATTTTGGGAGCATACTTGTGGCAAAACTGATTAAGTTCGCAATGGAAGTTTTTGTAAAAGAAGTATTTGTCAAAAATTTGGTTATAATGTTAAACTCATTTTATTTTGAAAAATTGAAGTGTTTTTAATTAATTGTTGCTGTAACTCGCTTATCTGTTGCATCTCGTGTTTCCGCTTTAGCGTGGTGTGACATTGATCAAACAAATCATCAATTCTTGGGAGATGATACTTATTTTTTATTGTTAGTTTATTCAGCTCCCGGTAATCAATGCACATCCTCATTGATCCATCCTTCTTCTTTACAAATAGCACCGATGCACCCCATGGAGAAGTACTTGGTCGAATAAAACCTTTATCCAACAATTCTTTCAATTGAGACATTAACTCCTTTAACTCAGAAGGAGCTAATCTATATGGTGCACGTGCAACGGGCGCTGCTCCAGGAAGTAATTCAATTTGAAATTCAATCGTTCAATCCAGAGGTAGACTTATCAAATCTTTTGGGAATACCTCAGCAAATTCTCTTACGACTGGAATATCCTCTATCTTTTTCTTTTCTTTCTTCATATCTATAACATATGCAAGAAAACTAACACATCCTTTCTGTACATATTTTCGAGCCTTTAAAACCGAGATAAGGTTAGAGTAACGATCCCATCGATCCCCATAAATCATAACTTTTCCTTTTTCCGGCAAGTCTATATGGATCATCTTTTCATCACAGACTATGTTAGCTAACCAATCCATGCCTATAATTATATCAAGGAAATAATTGTATAGGCACCTCACATCCTTCTATACTTATGAAACAATCATCTATTCTTTCCTTAATCGATACTTCACTATCGTTTGCTGTTTCCACAACTAGATCCTCACCTAACGCTTTATATTCTAAATGTGCGCAATTAACAAACGACGGTGACACAAAAGAACGATTTGCACCCGAGTTAAATAAAATATTGGCACATACTGAATTAACAAGGAATGTACCTGTCACCACTTCATGGTGCTCTTCTGCTTCGCCTCTCGTCATCTGAAGGGCTCTCCGTCTTGTATACTCCCCACGTCTTATCTCTCCTCAACCGCCTGGGTTAACACACGATTATCTATTAACCCACGACCTGTTGGCACATAACCCAATCTCGACCTCCAGCAAAACTAGAACCTCATCCCTTCGCTTGCAGACAAGCAGCGTTTACATGTTGAGATGAATTACAAGTAAAACATCTCTGCATCATCCGACAGTATCGAGCTATATGTCCTGGTTCCTGACACTTAAAACATACTCGCGATTCTGTATTGCAGTTTCCCTGATGTAGTTTATGGCATCGTATGCATTCCTTATCAGCAAACCTGGGGACTGGTCGATTCAAACTTTCCATTAACCTTGGTCTACGGAAATTAGTTAGTGTAACTTCTCCCTTTCTTTTCTCTCCAACCTTTTCTTGTGGTTGTCTATTAATATCTTGTTCCAGTATCTCCGCAGCATCAACTGCTGCTTGAAATGTTGTCGGATTCCTGGATATCACATACTTTCAAAGATTAGACTCCAAACCCCAGATATACTTTCTCACTTTACTTTTTCCGATATTATGTAAGCTTCAGCGAACCAGGATTGTTCCATAAAGACTTTTGTATACTGACGAACTGACATATTTCCTTGTTTTAGACGAAGGAAATCATCTTCTAGCTTTCGTACTGCCGCTACAGGACAATACTGCATTTTGACTTTTTGTAAAAACTGGTCTCTTTCAGCAGTAACTAAATCAAATTTAATTTTCAGTTCAGTTCTCATCTTCATCTTAGTTTCAAGGTCTGTCTTTAGATCAGACAATTTACTTGTAGTGTCCAGGAGTTTACCTTTTAACTCCTTCTGTAGCATTTCAAACTTTCTCTTCTAATCTATTAACTCTCGTTTCTCTTCATCTAAGCTACTCTTTTCATTCTCCAAGGCAATGTCAAGCCACTTTTTCTTATTCGCAAGCTCTTTAGCAATTGTTGTATACTTATTTGAAGTATTTCTTTTCTCAAGAGCAAATTGCCTTTTCTCTTCGTCTAAAGCCTTTTGCTTTCGATCAATGCTTTCAGACAATTTCTGTAATTGACTCTGACAATCTTCGGAGATGTCTTTCTTTTCTTTAACAGTCTTGGCTCGTTCCAAGATGATCAGCTACTCAAAATCCGGGATTTGCTTTAACAGCATCTTTGCGTTCAGCTCGAGAGAGTTAATCTTATTTTCATAAGATTCACGTTCAGTACAAAATCTTTTCTCAATCTCTATAATCTTTTGTTTCTCTTCACTCAGTAATTTCCTTAACTCAATTAGATCAGTCTCAGACTTATGAAAATTGACAATTAAGTCTTCGGTCTCTGTATTATTCCTTGGAGTGTTTTTCTCAATCGAAAGTGCACTTTTAAGCTCTTTGAGTTTATTGAAAAGATCTTTATTAGCTTTACTTCAAATCTTCAAATCCTCATCATAATCTTTTCTTACAGAGCTGAGATTGTTCTCGAGTTTTTCAATTTTATACTCAAAGTCCTTCTTGATTCTTTCACAATTTTCTTTATGATCCCTTTTTAAATCTTTAATATATTCCTTATTAACATGATTCTCATAATATATATTTATGTATTTTTCTTTATAGTTCACAATGCTCTTCTTCAGTTCAATAATCTGAACTCTCATATCTTGATCCTCCTTCTTTAGGATATCTGCCATTAAAAAAAATAAGATTGATCAGATATATGATCTATGCAGTTAAAGAAAAATGATCAAAGAAATAAAATCCACAAAAATAATAATGCCACTAAATTAACACAAGATTTTCTTTTGGAATTGACAATTGAAATCTATCCGGATTAGAAATCCAGTCAAAACTCAATTATGGTCAAAACTCAAAACTCAAAACTAAGTTGCTTACCTTAGCTCACCTAATTTGTCCGAATTCGCTGAAGGAGTAGGTTTGGCTAAGAATAAACCGCTCACAATGACAACTAAGTTCGCTCAACACTAAGTCTAAATCGGTCACCACATACTAGCTAAATCGCTTAAGATGAAAGATAAATCGCTCACCTCTCAATCTTAAATCGCTCAACTCTCCGGTCACTTATCCGCTCATTATGAAGTCTAAACCATTCACAGCAAAGTGAAACCCGCTCACTGCATGAACAACACACCAAGTATAAATCACTTAACAATCTGCTTGTTTGTTGACCGAATACGCTTAAAACAATCTGTGTCCGAATTCGTTCAAGACTTAAAACCGTATCATGTAAATTGCTCAGAAATCCGGTCAAAGAAGTAATCTAAATCGCCTGCTTAAAGATCAACTTCGCTCACCTTTTGTCCGTATACGCTCAAACTTAGAAATAAACCGCTTACCTTGTGTCCAAATTCGGTCAAAACATCAAACAAGATGCTAAATTGCTCAAATAATCCGAACACAGCCTCTAAATCGCTCAAATATCCGCTCTACAATAACACTGTTTTAACTCACTCAATATGTAAATCGCTCATCATGTATCTTCCTAATTAACCGAATACGATCAAGCCTAGCTTTTCTAGTGACCGAATTCGGTCAAGGAGTGTCCGAGAACTCTTAAATCGCTCAAACACTTAGCCTGGACAAACTTATATCCGACCAAAAATCCGCTCACTATGTATTACTAAATCGCTCAAACTTGCTTCTAATCAGGATGACAAACAAGATTCAAACATAATTGTCAATCAAACTAAGATCAAATCAACAAACTAACACAAACTTTACACAAATTCATACAAAATATAGATCAAAATCTAACTTTTCGATGAGTTTTCATAAGAACACGAAGAACATCACAGTTCAAAAACTCTTCAAAAACTTTTCTGACAGTGATCAAATCATGTAATCGTAAGAATGAAACTGATTCATAACATAAAAACGTACACTACGATAACAAATTTAACAACCGCAAATGTGAAATTTCAGAGAAACTTATGAAGATTAAAGATAAACATCAATGAACTTCAAGAACAATATATTGAATCTCCAAAAAATTCAGCAACTCTTGATAATTTTTTCAAACAAATTTCCTGCAAATGAGCTCTGATACCAATTGATAGTCCCTGTTATGATCAATCTTCTAGAATGCTCTTCAACAGTGGCATATCTGATAAATCTTTAAGAACACTTTAATATGAACTTTGAGAGAGAAAGTCAAACATTCAAAGGATAGTCAACTCTCTATTACGTATCAGATTTTACAATAAAGCACTCTTCCTTACCTCAATTTACAAAGACATCACCCTATTTATAGGGTCAAACTTCTAAACAWAGTCAAAGTCAAACTCCTATAAGAAAAGTCAAACACAATGACTTTTACAATTATAGACAATATTTAACTTTCAAGACGAATACAATTTAATATTGATTTCCAGATTTTAAGTGCGAACACCATTGTTTTAAGTGCGAATACCACTGCCCCCAACTCAAGGTTATGCGTAGTGTAATTCTTTTCGTGCACTTTGAGTTGCCTTGAGGCATACACAATGACTTTGTCTTTTTGCATTAGCACGCATCCTAAGCCTTGATGCGATGCATCACAATAGACCACAAAATTTTCCGAACCCTCTGGTAGGGCTAAGATAGGTGCGTGACATAGCCTCTGCTTAAGTGTCTCAAACGGTTCTTCATGTTTCTCACTCCAAACAAACTTCTTGTCCTTCTGGGTTAAAGTAGTGAGTGGTTGAGCAATTTTTGAGAAATTCGCAATGAATCTTCTATCGTAGCCTACCAAACCGAGAAATTGTCGAATCTCTGTTGGGGTTCTTGGGGCCTTCCAATTCCTAATGGCGTCGACCTTGGCAGGATCCACCTGAATCCCTCTTTCATTAACTATGTGCCCAAGAAATTGTACTTCCCGAATCCAAAATTCACACTTGGAAAATTTTGCGTACAGTTTTTGGCCCCAGAGTAGCTCCAATATTAACCTCAGGTGTTGTTCATGATCCTCCTTACTTGGAGAATAGATCAGTATATCATCTATGAAAACAATTACGAATTTATCCAAGTAGGGTCTGCAGACTCTATTCATTAAATCCATGAAGACGGCCGGTGCATTGGTTAATCCAAATGGCATTACCATGAACTCATAGTGACCGTACCGAGTTCTGAAGGCTGTTTTGGGAATGTCCTCTTCCCGCACTCTTACTTGGTGATATCCAGACCGTAGGTCAATCTTGGAAAAGTATACTACACCTTGAAGTTGATCGAACAGGTCATCGATTCGAGGAAGGGGGTATCTATTCTTGATGGTCAACTTATTAAGTTCCCTATAATCAATGCACATTCGCATTAACCCATCTTTCTTTTTGACGAATAGAACCGGTGCACCTCATGGTGAGTAACTTGGTCTTATAAATCCCATATCTAACAACTCCTGGAGTTGTTTTGGCATTTTTTGCATCTCCGCAGGTGTCAAACGATATGGTGCCTTTGCCACTGGGGCAGCCCCAGGGATCAAGTCGATACCGAATTCAACTTCTCTTTGCGGGGGTAACCCTAGTAAATCCTTGGGAAATACGTCGGAAAACTCCCGAACTATAGGGACCTCGCCGATATCTTCTTCCTTGCCCTTCCTATCAACAACATGCACCAGGAATACGACATACTCCTTCCTCAAGTACTTTTGCATTTTTATGCAAGACACTAACTTAATTTTTCGATCCGACTTGTCTCCTTGAATCTCTATTAGGTCATTTCCATCCTGAGGAATCCAGATAACCTTCTCTGAACAGACAATTTCAGCTTGATTTTCGGATAGCCAATCCATGCCTACAACTATGTCGAACCTTCCTAACTCGATAGGAACAAGGTCTATGCTAAAATCCTTATTGGCTAAACTTATTGTACAATCCTTGATTATATTTCTAGCCTTAAATTCTTGGCCATTGGCAAACTCAACTTGTTGGACCTTAAATTCAGCTTTGATATTTGATCTAATACTCTGAATGAACTTTAAGACGATTAAAGTGTAGCAGAAACAATATTAAGAACAAAACAGAGTAAAATAAACCAAGAACACACAGTTAAGATGATAAAGAAGAAGAACACGGGAGAATAGCCTCAAAGGTTTTTCAATTCATTCAGTTGAAAGTAAGACGATTACAATACAGAAGCACACTAAATACAAAGGCCTTAGCTGCTATTTATACTAGTTCCTAACGACCTTACTAACATGATCTAGACGTGTGAAATCATCTAAGTCATCCAAATAAAGTCTATTAAGTCCTAGTCACATGAGAAGCACATGCAGCAACCAACCTTTGAAAAAACAGTTGGAAGAGGATCTTCACAGAAGACGAGATCTGCAGACCCTCTGTGAGCCATCCCAAAGGCTCTGCTGTAATTGACTTGTATGATCTTATTGCCAGAGGACCATTTTCCAGAACCTCTGTGTAGACATCAGACGTTCTGTAACATTTTACTTGTATGATGAAACAGCTTCTGTTGCTAGTCCTCTGTTGTCTTCTGTGGAAGATACCCTTCAGTCAACACTTGCAGAATACTTTTTCTATACTTTTACAAGAGATGAATAATAAAGCTAACAATCTCCCCCTAAGTATGAAAAAGTAAATTAGGACAAATGGGTGCAAGAAATGACTAATTGAAAGAATTACAAGAGGAGATTAAACTTATCCTCTTAAAAGAATTACATAAATGAACGAACTGAAAAATTTGTTGCTCAGGCCTACAATATTACAAGAATTAGTCCACAGCAGAGTCTAGATAGTCATCTACGGCAAATTGCAGATCAGACTTGATGGTTCTGTAGACTTTGAATATCCATTCTCTGAAGGAGACTTGAACTTTGATCGTTTCCAGAAGGTGGTTCATTTCATCCTCCCTTAAATGCCCTCTCTGCACCTCTGCCACCACTAGGTTGAACACCCACTCAAGAGACTCTATCGAATATTTATGCGTCTCTTTGGGATCGAAGAACCTTTAGAATCTCATCCTTGTCCAGGAATACAAACCCAAAGATGGGATTGTGGAAAATGGTGTTGGGATGAAATCTAAGCAGCCAACTTGGTCTGTTCTGTGGAGGAGAAATTTTTTGCTCTGGCTGGGCCAACCTCATCGTGATGTGAAATCTTTCTGGCTATAAAACTTGACTTGAGCGCACATAACCTCAATCCGCCTTCTGAGAGAAATTGAATATGTTGACCTCCTCTCCATGTATTTGTTCAATATCTTGTGAAGGAATATTAGATCAAATACACAGAGGTTGTGAAGGTCAGCATCTGTGAAATTATATAGGTTGTCGTCATCTTTTTTTACCACATATTGAGCATATAGCACGGTCTTCTTAAGCATAGTCCTTAGAGAAATTGTTTCGAGTGAAGTAATCACATGCTCTTAGAAGACTGCTCTGGTGGCCTTGTGAGCTTTGAGAAGTGGAACTTTGCAATGGCAGAGGGCATACCTGTAAGCTCTGGGTCATAAGGGGGCTCTGTATCCACAGCTGAGTAACGCCACCGCTGAATCTCCTCAACAGTAGTTACGGGCTCTGTGTGCACCTTCTGCGTAGGAATCTTGCTCATTGATTCAAGTATCTCATAAACCCTCCCTACTGTGGCAGATTCTGGCATTCTGGTTTCTTCTTCTAGTATCGGCCTCTAGGTGGACCCCTCTGGTAGGATTGGCTTGACAGTTCCTACCAGAGCATCAAACGTACCCGTGGACGTTTCCTCTGGAATCTTCGCCATTTTAGAGGAAGAACCTTCTCCAGCTCTGGGGATGGGGGCTCTGCGCTTTCTCGCTTGTGCCTCTAGCAAAGACGCATTTAAAGCTCGAACGAGATCGGGGTCATGATACTCTTCTTCATTTATCTCCTCTGGCGTCTCAGAGCTTGACCCCTTCTGTGGCGACTCCTCTACTGCTTTACCCTTKCCTTTCCCCTTAGGCTCTGGAGATTTGTCTTTWGAGAAMARRGCAGCAGCAGAGTCCACTATTTTTAGTGGTCTGGCAGAGGTTGTCTTCTTTGGTTCCTCTTTCTTCTTCTCCCCCTCATGACGATCATGGTCATCACCTCCTTGATCATCATGGGTTTTAGTGGCCTCTGCCTTGCAAGTAGTAAGGGGAGCCTTTTTCAATCGCTTTAAAACTTTGGAAGCTGCCCATTCCATCTTTTGAATGACCTCCTCAACAATCACAGAGGCAGTGTTGATATCCATCTCTATGGCCCATTTCATCTTAGAGATGCAGCGATAGATCTCATTTCTAAAGTTATCACATTCTTTGACGAGTTTCTTCGTGCAGTCTCTTATAACTTCGTTGCTTGCTCGGTCTTCCTTGAGGAGTTGGTCAGTGTATTTCTGCACGGTCTCTCCAAGGGCCTCAACCATTGCGTCTAGCTCTCTGCGAGTGGCTAGATGGTTAATGTTAGCCCTGGATGATTTAGAATCAATTCCATAGGTCACCGCATAGGAGAACATCCTTTTGATCTCATCCTTGAAGGCAGAATAATCGGTGTAGCCGGCGAAAATAAAGTCTGCAGCGAATTAGGCGGCAACCTCTGATAGTTCTATCTTGAGCTTTTGGATTGAAGAAGGGTTGAGTGACAAGGCGTTGAAAGCTTCTGCTAGATCATCTTTGTTGAGGACAGAGCTCTGAAGGGCTGATACGGTCGCCTTGAGCTAAGAAGTTATGGAAGTCAACTCCTTCAGAGCCTCTGTTAATGGTGCAAGAGCCTCTGTCGCCGGTTGGGAGGAGAATAAGCATTTCAACTCATCCATCCTCTTGAATACCTCTGTGGCAAAGGTTTGTAACTTCTCCTTCGTCACATAAGTACTCTGGAAACCTAGATCACCAGCACATGGTGACCTAGTAGCCTCGGAGTGTGAGGCGTCCTCAGTGACTGGTTTTTCGATGTCAGCTCGGGGACTTCCACCAGATCCTCAAACATCTCAAATTGAAGAGCCTACCAGTGTTCTGTCGATGTCGTGCCTAGTAGGTTCAGAGCCTAACTTGGAAGAGGGATCGAGTGGAGACTTTGGGCATTCTTGACCCGCAGTCTTTGTGAACCTCTCGTATGCATCTGAAGCATAACTTGGTTGTTCACTCTGGTGTGGAGGGGCAACAGATGCCTCTCTGGGTTGTGACAAGTCCTTGGGCGAATGGACTCTTATTGTAAAACCAACATCCTTTTGAGAGGAAGTTGGAGTTGATTGTGGTTCCCGGGATATGCATTGGACAGAGGACGAATGAATGTCCTCTGCGAGGTAGGTTTGGGTAGGGTTCGGCGTGTGAACGCCTTGTTCAATAGGGGTTCCCTCTAGAACAGGGTGCCTAGAAATGTGGGTAGCACTAGGAGGGGGGCTAGGATGTGTGCCTTCGGCATCTTTTACTCCCTCTTCTATCTCTAACTCTTCTTCTTCGTCGTCTATTACGACTTCTGTCCCCAAATCCGCTACCTMTGTGGGCGCTTTAAATTCTTGTTGGATGTGGAAGATGACATCGTGTATCTGCTCTGTTGGGGACTCTTCGTGAACAACCTTGCGCAACCTTCTGYGCTTTGGAGCAGCCTCTGCGGGGATTTCTTGTAGTACAACCTCTGTGACCTCAACCTCTGCGGGTTGGGCCTTCTTTGATTTCTTCTTCTTTGGCTTTTGCAGAGGACTGCTTAGACCCTCTTCTTCTGCAGATCTGTTCTTCCCTTTCTTTTTCTCAGATGAGTCAACACCCTTCTGAGTCTTCTTTGTCTTCTTTGGTGGAGGACTTGCTACTCTCGGTCTGTCCTCACTTACCTCTCTAGCCTCTGCTGGCTCCTCCCTTCTTCCCTCAACCATCATTTTTTGTACTCTCTCTCCTAAGGGGATTCCTATGCATGGAAGGGTTTTAGGGACCGGCTCTAGCGTCCTGTATCCACGTCTGTACGCTTTCCTATCTCCGTCGCTAACGTATTTGAGCATGGCTTTTGATAGAGGTCTTGGGCTTCTGTACCCTAGCTCATGCTCTGTGGGGTGGAACTCCTTCATCGGATACAAACGCGTATTAGGTTCTACAGAGGGCAGCTTCCCTGCTATCATTTCACCAAAGACCAGACCAAAGAACCTTTGTAGGATAAGGTTTGGATGATTGAGATCCTCTTTAGCCTTCTTCTGTGCCTTCACTTTAGACTTCTCACCCCTCTGAGTAGCGCACTTCTTCTTGATTAATCCCACCATGTCTTCGAATATGAGCTGTGTGTAATCAAGGGGCAGGTTAAAATAGATTCCATATACAATGGAAAGCATGGCGTGTGAGGCTTGGTCATGGCTGTCGACCTTCCCTGTTAAACAGTAGTTCACTATCGAAAACAGAGTGTTCCAAATTGGGGGAAGGCCTTTTCGCTTGAATTCAGTCCTTTTAACAATTTTAGTCTTGGCAAAGTAGGAGTGAAATTCAAGGAATTGAATTAATTCGGTGTCTGTTGGGGTTGGGGCGAAGGTATCCAAATTGAGTGTTGCCAAGGAGGGTAGGCAGAGGGCTGTTTGCAGGGTATTCACATTTAGTTCCATTGGGACAAACGATTTCACGGTCGGATGAGAAGCATAACCTACAATGCTCAATCCAGAATTATCTAGGGTAGTGATATATGAGCTHAGCAAGAATTGGGTAATATATGTTTCAAGGGTAGGTTTAGTGGCTGAGAGAGCATAGTATAATGGATGGTTGCGAAGAATTTCAAGGAGGGGATATGTATATTCAGGGAAGCCAGATTGAGATGGAGCAAAGAAATAATTGTTGGGTTTCTTTACCAATACCACTTTCTCGTATCGATTTTGGAAA